TTCTCTAAGGCAGGCTGAAACTTGTTCTTTGTGGCTACAAACAGGTCTTGCACAAGCCATCAGCATCATCTGAAGTGGACAGCAAATACGCATTATTCCTGTAGCAGCCAGAGTGGTACAGCTCGGTGTCACACAAGGTCGGTTCACAATACCGACTCATCTTGCTGAACCACTGCACACTCACCACCCAGTTCTCTTTAGCCAGACATCTCTCATTGTCTCAGAGGACATAGGTCATACTCAAGCACTCTTTTACACATTCACAGTTCAGAAATCCTGTGTCCCTAAGAGGTGGTGAACTTTATTATTACTGCCTGGGCATCCAAAGCCTGCAGCATACATACAGGCTGAAGAGCACAGATGCATAAAGGCATAAATAAGGTGAACACTTTAAGTTCCTTGAACTTAAGGAACTTAGCAATACATTAGCATCAAGTAATACTGCAGTGGAAAGCAATGCTAAGCTTGTCACTGCTTTGGACAAACTTCCCAGCAGATACTTGGTCTGTGCAAGCTCCACATTGCCTCTGCTGTCTGAGAAAACTTCCCAGACAGTTCATTTTTTTCATCAAAATCCTGTACACTGAATACAAAGCCATACCTAGACTGGCAGGATCTTCCTTCCCACAGGGGGCTTGCCTTTACCTAGGGGCTGCCCCGTTTCCCCATAGGGAAGTATATGTAATAGAAAAAATAGTGATTTCCTACTTGGACTTCAGATGTACTGAGCTGGTGGAGGGCTTGGGGTGGGTTCGTAAGTGGTGAGCTGTACTTGTACTGTACCCAGAAACATCTCAAGGAAAACAATGAAACACGGATTCTGTACAAGTGGCTTATAAAACCCAGGAGCTTGTTGTCACAAAGGCTACAGTTCATGTCTCAATCTTATTAAGATAATTACACTCTCAGGAACAGCATAGCAGCAACCTAGGATAAAAGGCTCAGTTGCAGAGCACTCAGTGGTTTGGGCTGTAGGATAGAGGGATCAGGCTAGACTGAAAATGATTCATGTAAGTTCAGACATATGTTTCTACTCCTACAATGCAAGGCTGAGCATCTCCAGCTTCCATTCAGCATATCCTGTGGCAACTAACTGATGAAAGTAATGATAGTGATGCAAGAGTAGCACAAAGGGGGAAGGACAAAAGAAAGCTAAACAGGTAGCTAACTTCAGTAACTTCAGAAATACAAGATCTTAAGTACTCTGCTGTGCATTCAGAGGAGTAATTACAAGGGACATTTTCAACTGAAAAAAATCTCACAACATTATATGGATATAACTTTTAGAATATTTGATTGTAGGTTTAATCGTTGCAGCAGAATTAGTCCTGTACTGAACACTGGACAGTTCCAGAAGTAACTGAATTACCTTTCAAGCTGACCAGTTCAACACAATTTATAATGTGAAGCCCAAACTTGGTGTGTTCTGTGCCCAAATGCCTTGATGCAGTTATGGAGGCAATTAAATAGAGATTGTAGAAGTAATTTTTTTTGCATATAAACTCCCTGGATGGCCCACTGACCCAGGAGCATGCCTTGAGCAAAAGCAGCAGGCTGCTGAAGATGGAGATACCGCAATTTATGACTAAAATATAATTAGGATTTTTAAGCAAATTGCTTAATCTCTTCAGCACAAAGCTGCATTTCATGCCCTTTTTGCAACATGTAGCTGTTATAATTCTGAATTCATTATTATCAACAAAGAAAGATATTACAAAATGAGGCTACTTTGCATGCTTTTAGTAGGTTGAATACAACTTTCAAAGCTTCAGGACTCTAAAGTCTATTTCTGCAAAATTTTATGCACATACAGTGCTTGAAGCATGTAATTAGTAATGATCTCTGACAGGCTATAAGTAGCCACACAAGTTTTGACAGGGTTAGTACTGTAAGGCATTGTCGTGGGGGTTCATCTGTTAGATATACATTCAAACGCATTCAATAAGCCCATATTTGCTAACTTGCAAACTCATTAGATAGTCACATACCACATGGTCTTACTAACAAGCACTGCAAACTGTCACTATTAGCTGCTACCAAAATAAACATAGTAAGGAAAATATAGCCTTATATAAATAACCTGCTCGACTTGTGTACGGGTAGTAAAGCTTGACTAATTCAAAAGATATTCTTCTTAACATTAAGTCACTTGCTTACAGTGAACTTCAGGTTTTGTTTTGTTTTAGGTTTCTGGTGTACAGATCGCACATCCTAAGTTAGAAATATGAGTTCAGACTATTCTCTGACCCACCTGGCCTAATCATCCTGTTGATTAATATACATTTCTTATATCAGGACACAGAGTGCATTAATGTGTAAAAAAGCCCAGGGATCTGTTGTCAGGGCACTGTGTAAGCTGAAAGCTCCCCAGGGGCCAGGGAATTGGGGAAGACTCTCAGGTTGACAGGGCCTTTGGGGCCACAGCTCAGCACTACAGAATCTAAGCAGGGGAACATGGTAAATCAGAGCCTACGTCAAAAAGTACCTCCACAGTCATGAGGCAAATTCATGGCTGAGAAGTCATCCTGCAGGTTATGCTCCAGATCAACAGCATCCATAATCAGATATAGACACAACTAGGGCAGAACCAAAGACCAGCAACACGCTTTCACCATAGGTCAGAAAGATTCTCAGGGCTGAAATTAGAATCCCCAGCCTGTGCATGTTTGGGCAGACCTCAGATGAGGCTGGTCAGTGCCATTAAGGCCAATTAGTGCCCCCATGGCCCTAACACCCATGACTCTGTTGCAAGATAGAGAGTTTATTATTTTGTGTGTAATTGAGTTGAGAGCATGCATGGTAGCATGGGACTCCTGGTATCCATTATAGTGATAACATGGTGCTAAGTGTCAGTGAAGACCTTCAGAAGCAATATCCAAAGATAAAATACAATCCTTCCTCTCTATCAGAACTCCACCAGAGTTCCGCTAGACAGAGGGGTTTGTTCTGTTAAAAAGTACCATGGGATCTTTAAAAACCAAAATCAATTAGCATTTCAGGTTTCTAACTGATCCTAAGGGTACTTAATCAATATCCCCTTTAAGAAAACAGACTTTACCCCTCTCCTGATCACGAGCTGTGATCTACTAGGAGGTGTGCTTGGCTAGGGAGGACTATGAGGAGAAAACAACTGAGGAGTCTCTTTACTGGCCTGTTTTGGTAGAAGCTGGAGAGAGTGGAAGGTCGGGCTAGGAAATGAATAGGGACGGGAATAGCATTTCATTACCCAAAAGGCCTGAATGGGGCAGCAACAGGTTTGTTTAATTGTTTTTTTTAAGCAGGGTTGCTGGAACTTTAGGGTGAGAGTTCAAGGCTCAGCAGAGAGGCTGGGCTTTTGGAGGCATTGGAGAACCTGCCTCAGGGTTGTTCACAGGCCGGTGGCACTACAGGTGTTAAGTATTTCCTTGTACCTCTTACATGATAGTGGTGTTTGGATCAAGAGATAATCTACTGGGGAAAAATGCCCAGTACCCTGAGTAGTACAGCATGATGTGAGGTAAATGAGACAATGATCTCCTCTTGCAGCAGATAGAGTCTTTCCTCCTGTCTTAAGTGTTGTATCTTGGCAATGTCATGGACAACTGGGAGACTAACAGTATAGGACAGTATTCTGATGCTCCTCTCCTTTGTAAGCTGACAGGATAAATAACTCTAAAGCATGCTTTTACAGGGCTAGTGTGTGACTGCAAAACATCATTCTCTCCAAGAAAGAAAACTATCAGAGTGAACAATGGAAGAGGTGCCCAAGCTCATGTGATCGTGTATCCACACTTTCCACCGCTCTGTCAGAAAGTAAGTATTTTACTAGAAAAATGCTAGGTTGACTTCAAATTTCTCTGATGTGTCCCATTCAGCCTTGCACAGAAAATGCTCTTGTCTATACCCCTTTAACGGGAAATCAGTGTATGGTTGTAAATATCACCCAAAAGGTGTCTGATTGTTAGTTTATTGGTGTCAGAACTGACATGAAACTGAAACTGGAAACATGGGGTAAATGTTTGCTATTTTGGAGAATAATCATGCAGCATTTGAAAACTTTTCTTCCTTATTTAGCTGTAGCGAAAAGCTCTCTGTAAAATCATGTCAACTCAAATCTTGGGCCCTTTGTCCCCTTTTCTCCTTCCCACTCAAGGCCCACTAAGTTTCAAATAGGACTTCAGAGAGAATAAAAGGCTGCATAAGCCTTAACAATATTTTTAGGAACTGAGGAGAGCATAAAATGATACTGCAAACAAAAAAATGTTGAGCAAATTGTTCACACAGAAGGACTGGCAGGCAGCTGTATTCCTCTCCATCTGCGGTTTAGCAAATCCTGAATTTATGAGCTGAGGGAGCTTTGGTTGTTTTTGGTATCTGGTGGGAACAACCACCAGCAGCAGCAGGGCTTGGGGTCCAGTCTCTGCAGCACAAATTGGATTATTCCCTGGGATCACACATTCCTGATTTACATTGCAGCTCACTAGCAAATGTGCTGATGCTAAGGGAGAGGTGACCCAGCTCTGGGTAGGTACTTCAGAGGATGCCTTAGGTTGGGCTTTGTCCCCGTAGTGCTATACATGTGCGGTTACAGCCGGCAGGGAGTAGGCGAGCAAAAAGGAAACAGCAGCTCAGATTTGATGTCAGTGGGGCAGAGAGAGCTCTGCCTCCAGTGGCAGGAGTCTGGGGGCAAATGTGTAGGACGTGGTGAGAGGCAAGGATGGGTAAGCAGGTGTTGGGGGCACCTTCTGGCAGGGGGTTGGAACTGGGTGATGTTTAAGATCCTTTCCAACCCAAACCAGTCTGTGATCCTATGGTACCCAGTCATTGCCCGGAAAACGCTCCCCGGCGACAACGAGCCCCCAGCCACAGGGGCGAGGCCGCCGGCTGCTGGCCCCGCCCCGGAACCGCCTCGAGGCGGTACAAGGAGCCGGCAGCACCGCCCCCGTGCCTGCTGTGGCAGGAAGCGGTGGAGCGCGGCCGGGTAGCGCTTGTGGGGAGGACTGCGGTGTCCCCGTGGGCTCCAGGGTCCCTGTGGGCTCCAGGCGGTGCCCGGTAACTTTCTGAGGGGCGAGCCCTGGGGCGCCGCGTCCCTCACCCGCCTGCAGGTAGAGAGGCCGGGAGGGCTTCTCGCTGTTGTCACCGGGCGGCCCCCGGCTCCGCCCGCCGCTGCCGGGAGAGCCGTTCGGGCGGTGGGGGCGGCAGCGCCCGTTGCCGCGGCTGCCTCCGTGGGGCGGCCTGACATGAGATCATCGGCAGCATGGCCTCTGCCAGGAGCGGCGGCCGCACCGGGCCGAGGGACGAGGAGGCCAACGGCGACCTGGACCGCTCCCTGCAGCAGATGCTGCGGGCGATAGCGGAGGAGCGGAGCCGCGCCGGCGTCCGCCAGGAGATCAGCGGCCTCGGTGAGTCGGCGGCCGGGGCCTCCCTGCCGGGCTGGGTGCGGGTGGAGGGCGCGGCGCCCCGGGGCCGGGCGGCACCCGGCAGCAGGGGCACCCCCGTGCTCCTTCACGGCTCGGGCTGGGGCCGGCCGGCGCCTAGTTCGCCGTGTGCAACCGGCGTCAGGGGCCTGGGAACCTGTTGTGTGCTGCCGGGCTGTGCTGCTGCCGCGGGGATGGGCCCCTTTTCCTCGAAGTCCCCGGGAACCGGAGAGAGCAGTGGGCTCTGCTCCATTGTCTGAAATGCCCTTGGAGATAAATGGTCAGAAGACACTATGCACATGAGCTGATAATCTGTTTTCTTTAAGTATAAACTATGTATTACGTGTTTTGGAATGCTGAGCGAATTTTGTGCTACTCTCTCCAGTGCACAAGCTCGTATGGCTCTCAAATGATCCCTGTAGTTTTTTTTTTTCCTTTTCTGAGTCAGACGCCTCCCTTCTCTGAGTATATGACTTCACTTTGCTTGCCGTGGTCTGGTAAGCACATGATGAATGTGGTGGCTCTTGATGGTCTGTTAATTTCCTTAATCATGGAGGTTTTCTTCGGCTTTTTGGCTGTCCTGTTTATGTACGTCTTCACTGATGCAGATTCTACAGGGCACGTCTTTATTTAGCTTTTGGCAAAGCTTATGTGTTGCAAAATGAAAGTCTGAAGTTGAAATTCAGTTGACTTTAGGCAACAGAGTGGGAACAGCAGCTCTCTTAACCAAAATACTTCCCATCAGGGAGCTCTTCTGACTGGGCTAATGAATAGAAATCATTTGGGTTTATGTGCAGTAAGAGATCATAGGCAGAAGGTTTTGATGTGAGAAATTATTTATACCTTATTCAGAACTTTTGTATATCCTGGACTGAACCTGTGCTTTAAGGGGGTGAATGCCCAGAAGTCCTGGCAAGGTCAGGCTTTTAAATTATGAGTACTGATGTGTAGTACTTCCCTTGTTTCTTCCATGAAGTATTTATTGTCTCTTCCTTCTTCAGCACATTTTAAGGTCCCACAAGTTTCAATTTCTGAGTCTTCCTTAAAACTCAGAATGAGTTTTTGTCTCAGATTTACTGTCTTTATGATGTAGAGTGGCATGGGAAATCTCAATGGTTGTCTATGTGACCTTTATATATCAGTTTGTCTGCCAGTGCTTACTGTGGTCTCCCAGGGAAGGAATGGACTCTCCTTTATTTTTGCCTTGCACATAAAGAAGCGTGTGCAAAGAGAAGCGGTTAGTCTTTAATGTTTATGCTTCTTTTTTCCAATGGATTTGGATCTCCGGGCTTTATGTAGTGTAATAATGTTACATGGCCAAATAAAGTGTTATGGCAAAGAAACTGTACACAGAACAGGAAAAAAAGCCACAAAATCCAAATGCCTGTGAGATTGCATTCATTTGAAAAGCTGTTGTCAGCTAATGTTCGGCCTTACCATGTTTGAATGAAGATAAAGGCTCCCAGGAAAAGAAATACCACCGTTGGTTTCTTTTACTGAAATTGGGCAAGGGAGAAACTGTGGTGGCTGGTAAGAACATAGAAATGCTTCCTCTTGGCTTGCCTTTGAGCACACATCCACAGTAGCTCATGGTGAGAAGTCTTGCTGTGTAACTTGGGGATAATCACGCAAGTAATGGGACAGTATTGCACTTCTACCAGATGAAGTATTGAAGGGAAAACCTTAGGAGAACTGCTTAGCAAATTGCACTGAGGGCCTGATGGAGAGTTGCCTGTGTATGTCTGTGCCTGTGTGGAAATAGGTTATTTGTCACCACAGGGAGTGCCTTGGCTGCTCAGTTTTTATATCCAGGGAATGGAGCTGAACTTTCAGCTGAGAGCACTTAGTTTGCCAAGCCACTACATCTTTCTCAGAAGTGCGGTGTCCTGCAGGTGGAAAAGTGCCATGGATCTCCCTGCCCTGGGCAGCCGCAGCTGTGGGTGTGATAGATCTTTAGCTGTGGTGGCTGTTGTGATTTTAATGCAGGGAGAATCTGTTAACATGCTGGCTGTTTCTGAGCATAGCTGCTGAATATGTGTTCCTGCTGGCACTCCCCTTGTTAATCCCCAAGCACTGCAGTCACAAAGTGGGACCATTTGTAGGATTAGGGGTTGCAGATTCAGGCTGTCATAGGAATATGCAAATTGTCACAGTATCTGACCAGCTTTTTTAAATCTGCATATATTATTACCTGAAGTTTGGGAGGAACACACTGCGAAGCTCCCTTAAGGCCCAGCAGACAGAGAGTCTCTCTGTGCTATAAATATCTGCTTTTGTATATTGAAGGGTTTTCCAAAATCTTCATTTCATTGTGTGCTGCACATTACCTGGTGTATAACATTGTCACTCCCAGTGAATGAGTGCTCCTTTTCCCTATTCTGTAATTTATTTATGGGGAAGTAAATAGTTTAAATACATCTCTTAAGAAAAATACTGAGCTTCTGAAGTGATGCACAATATGTAGTTCATAGGTGAACAGAAGGTTATCAGGTGTAATCCTACAGCTTAAATTTATGTGTGTCTGGATTGCACTAGTGAATGCTGTTGCAGGGCATGCAACACAGTCAGACTAGCTTGGTTTGTTCTGGAGTATGCTGGGCACCAGCAGCACAGCAGCAGTGCAGGCTTTTCCTTGAGTTCAGTACTTGACAAAGTGGACACAGTCCCACATGGGTTCAGGTGGTCAATAGAGAGGTTTTGTCTGCTTTTTGTGCCTGGGTGCTGTTACTCAGAATGGACCCACCTGTTGGGCTGCAGGATGAGCTTAACCACAGCTGTTTTTTGTATTAGTGATGTTTGTTCTTGTAATACCCAAATCCATTCCAGCTGTGTCAGTAGCTTAAAACCTGTTGTGAGTCTCTTAATATCAGTTGGCAATGATGTTGAATTCTGGGTTTTCCCTGAGTGCTGTTAACCCCTCAACAATAAAATGGGAGTCACTGAGACATAATTTGAACAACATCTCTCCTTTTGTGTATTGTCTTTAAGTGAGCCCCTACTTCCCAGCCTAAGGAGGAAGTTGCTATTTTTGCTGACACTGAGTTTTGGTGAGAGGAATTGCTTTATTTCAGGAATATCATACGAGCATTTGGACAGGTATTGTCCACAAATGTAAGCCTCCTTGCATGGGATCTTCCATTTTGTCCTGTTCGTGTAAGGTAGCAAATACAGCAAATCTGGCATCGTGCTTAAAAATAATGACTCATGAGTGACTCCTTACCACGCTGCTTGAGGGGAAGGATGATGCCTTCCTGGGAAGCCTCAGCTGGCTGTGAGTGTCATCCAGTTGTATAGAGTATTACAATGGTGTTGCGTGCAGAGCTTGCTCCAAAATGCCATTTGTTAGAACATTTCTCTGGAAAAATAGTTCTCCTTCTGGGGAAACAGCTGACTTGCTGTATATCTCCTCAGCCAGGCTGCACATAAGGCTCTGAAGTTACCTTTTTGGCCAAAGCCTTGAACTGGGAGGGCTTTATTTGTTGCCTGAAACTACTGTGTAATGTTGTCAGATGCTTAATTTCCCTATTTGCCTAATTGCCCTGCTGTAAATGTAGCATAGTGTGCTTTGATGGAGGTGTGACTTTGTGAATACTGGAAATTATAATAAGAAATGAATAGGTAGATGTGAATAATGTCTTGAATTGTGACTGATCAGCAATGGAGATATGTAGCCATGTGAAATGTGAAGACAAGATCCTGAGAAGCAGGTGGCTGCCCCGTGGGCTGCAGGAAGTCTGAGTAAACAAGCAGTTGAAAACTGCTGCCACCGAGCACTGTTTGTAATGATGAGGGTCATAGGTGCCAGTGGAGAGGCTGGACCCTGCAAAAGGCCTTATAGTCTTACCAGGAATTAAGTTTTTCTGCTGTTTGTTTTTTTTTTTTTCTGGTGGTAGAGGAAGGCAGAGGAGGGTGTGCTTGGCATAGGGACATCAGAAGGAGTAATGCTCGTCCTCGGAGCCAGAGGATTGTTTGGAGTTGTTTGCGCAGCAGGGCACCTCAGGGCTTGTCATGTGAGTACAGACAGTGGGATGATTCATGTGCCAAATTATCTTGATGAATGAATCCTGGAAATAAATAGGTGTCTAGCCTTCTTGAGAGGAGGAAAGGTGAGGTGGCATACAGTAAGTGCTTGTGCACGTGAGTATTGTGAAAATATGCTGGAAACATAAAGATCCAGTTGGGAAAACGTGTAGAAGAATGGTGGAAAAAAAGTTTGGAGAGCAAAAGAGGTTAAAATGAAGAATTAAAAAGAAGAATGAGTAATTTGGGTTTGAAAGTCTTAATTCTATCATAATGTAGAAACTTTAATTGAATTATAATATTCAAGAAGGATTATATATATGTGCTTCTGAAACTTTGCGGAAAGTGTAGCCACTGAGTAGGTGGAATTGTCTGGTGTGAATCTGCAGGAGTACAGAACTGGTTTGACAGGAGTAGCTTTCATGCAGAAGCAAAAAGTTTTCTTCATTTGTGGGTCATCCTGGAGTTCAGTGACTTGTCCAGTCAAAGGTGAGAAACTACCAAAGCTGAGGTTTGTTTTTTTTCTCAAGTGTGAAAAGCAAGAATAATGACAAATCACATCTGTGCTAACAAAAACTTGAGGGACATACGCAACCAAATTTGCTAACTCCTGGTAATGTCACCTATAATGAGGTAGTTTAATATACAAATGTGCTGAAAAATTTAATTTCATTCAGGACTTTTAGAATGATTTAATTAGAGTTTAAAATACAGCTTTTATTGCTTGTACCTTAGTATTTGTACAAGTTCTTTTGTCCTATTTATGAAATGTTTTGCAGCTAATGAATGTGAAATGTTCAATGAAAAACGAATAGTCAAATACTGAAGCAATAAGAGGATACTAATGTAACTTATAAATAGTAAAACAAAAAGATGTTTATAAGGTGCTTCATAATCAGTTAAAAAAAATATAATCTAATTAAAAAAAAATCACAGCATTCCAGCCAGGAAGAATCTTTCCAGAA